TTTTTACAATCTTCTGACCAACTTTATCCTAAAAACCGATGATGTTGACCAGTATTACTGTATTTCTCCATTTCCTCCAATATACCACGCCCTATCGTAACTCGATCGTACTTGTAACAGAGCAGAGTCATGGTTGTAGTTTAGATGCAATCACTAAAACAACGCTTTGACATTGGCAATTAGAAAGAATAATATATAAATTCATGAAGTCCTTCATAGTTCTTCAATTTACTGAAAAGATATTAGTTTGATATTGCATGAACATGTTCGACGGTGTCTGGTCAATTCGAACCCTGCTCCATTCGGACCATGACATAAGACCCCAGACTGTAATTGTGACATTTTGTTTAAAACTATTTTATTATTATTATTATTATGTCACCTGAGTCACTCACTCGACCTATTGCTATCTTCAAATTCTTTTGAAATTATTTTTCTTGTTCGACGTCATTGAAGCCTTTCAGGCTTTTGATTTATTATAAAATATAAAAAAATATTCTGAGACCAAAACACACAAGTTTTTTAAAATAAATTTTTAAAATATATTTCATTAAAATTCATTTCATTTAACAATAACTGAAATTATATTTCTCTCCGAGTTATTTTTTTTAAAATCACGTTTGTTTGGCATGCGTGCAACAAGTGTGCTAATCAACAAATTTGGAACCAAAATAATTAAAGAATTATGTTCTTACCACATGCTTTCTGTATTGCAGTCCTTCCTTTCGATGAAAATAATGGTTAACACTCCATTAAAAAAATGTTGACAGAATCTAGATCCATCGAAAATCTGATGACAATGCAATGCAACATATTCCTTCCTTTCAATCTATTGAAAATTTGGCCCTCGTGTAACTGCTTAACTAATCAGTAATGATGTTATAAATCAGCTACCAGAAGCGTCCAATCAAACGACATTTTCTAAAACGATTGAGGTGGCGATTCAAATCATACCCGTAATATTAATTGGCCGCCAATGTATTCTTGTTTGGGGTACCTTGATAAAAAATGGTAAATAAATAGGCCTAGTTAATCGTGGACTGGTACTATTAAATAAAGTTTTACTTTTTTTATTATATTTATGCCAACGTTTCAACAAACTTCAAAAAAATCTTTGAATAAAAAGGGTGTGAAAAATTATTGATACGAATTGCCTCGCCACCCGCTAAAAAGATGGCGGCCTTTTTGTTTTTCGGTGGGCGATAGAAGTTTGTGAACTTGAGAATTTACAATATAGACTGCATTGGAGGTTATATTTTAAATGTACAACCATCCAAACATCATCCACAGAAAGACCAGCACTGTTCCGCCTGCATTCATCAGCTCACAACACGAGTAAGTTTTTATCTGTTTTATTCATGTTACAATCGGGGGATGGATATCGTGTGCACAACCTGCAAGCTGCAAGGTTGTTGTTTCATATGTTCTTAAATTAATTATATTTTTATGGCCCTATTTATTGTTTGGTTTCTTCGAATTTAAAAATGAGATTGGCAAGGCATTTGCTTTTTTCTCAAGAATGAAACAAGAGGGAGATAAAATACGATTTAAAATTATGTATACAGTGTTGTTAGTTGACAGAGTTTGACACAATCCATGTCCTCACAGATTACTTAATAGGCAAAAAGTACCGATATTATGTTGAAATATTTTTATAAAGTATATAAACTTAATATTTTTTTTTAATTATCTAACTTATTGAATTCAGGGAAAACGATTGTGTTTCTATTTATACATCAAAATTATTCACATAATTTGAAACTTAAGTCATCACAGGCATACTAGATGTATAGATTACCTACTTTGAAACTATGCAGATAGTTGCTGAATGTTTTGTTTGTTTTTGTTTTGTTTTTTGTCAATGTCTATTCATTTAAAATATAACTTTCATTAAGAGCGTACAATTTTTACAGGTCTAACAAAGAAACAACTGTAGAACTGAAATATCCCAAAAGACTGAAGAATCAGCGGCAAGAATCAGCTATGTTTATCAGTGAAGGAGAATTGACAGGCGTATGATTCTTATGGAACCAAGTTGTTTTGGATCTTCTCATGCAAGCACACAATTTGAAACTGACATCATAGACAAGACTAATATGATATCTTTTCAGATGATCGGCAACATGTTTATTAACCTCACAATTTTTATTTTCTACTTTTAGATGTTACCTTATAAAAAAAATAAATATATATGTTGTAAATTTTAGAACCATTTATGCCCATGAACAAAAATGTTGCAATAGGCATGAAGGCTTTTTTTTAAATAATAAATTATAAGTTTTAGGGATCAAATAGTTTGTTTTTTTTTTTTAACATACTGGACTGAGAGTGATGGTTATCATTACTTGAAAACATTGATGATTCATGCATTTCTTAAATGGACATGAGAAAATACAATTCATGTTAATGTGTATGTACCACAATTGTATACATCTTTTGCATTTTAAGATGTAAATTTACGTAAATTCCCTGATTTGCAACTTATTACTGATAGTCTATAATGATGTTAAAAAAAATCCAACAAGCTTTTCTGTCTATTTACTGTGGAATCATTTTAATTCGTGGGGGTCATTGTTCGTGGACAAGCAAAATTTTACTTGTTCGAGGGGACGTAATTTCGTGGGTACTCGTTTATACGGTAGATTCAATTAATCAATATGTTTACAAAATAAACATTCGTGGGGATGTAAATTCGTGGGTAAGGGTGACCCACGAAATCCACGAACATTGGTCCCCCACGAACAATGATGATTCCACAGTAGTCTTTCCATTTCAACATTGAACAGTATTGTAATACATGTATTGTTAAGCAATTACCAATGGAGAACACTCAGTTAATTAAAATTGTACTTAAAATTCAATATCAATAAATTTAAATCATTATAGAATTTAAATTGTATTGAGTCATGAATGATCATGAATAATCATGAAACTTGTGTTGCTGTGTAATGTTGAAGATTTTCGAATTTCATAAAGGTTCATCATTGTTCATGAAGTATAAATTTTTTTCAGTATGAATGTGTTCATGAATTATATTCATGAACTACTTTTATGAAACTATTATGAATCTTTTATGAGCATTCATGAACAATGATGAACAACTCATAAAAGTTCTTTAAGTCATGAATATCATCTCGCAGGGGTAATGCTATGGCCATTCGTGCGGTGTGTGTTAACTTTTTAGAAAATGGGCCATAACTCAAGAACCCCTTGGCCAATCAGTGTCAAATTTGTCACAGGGTATCCCTGGCCCAGGGGCTATCATTTATAAAAAAAATAAGGGTTGAGACTCTTAAACAAGGGGAGATAATCAGGAAAACAAAACCAAAAGTACGGGTTGCTAAAAAATCTTCTTCTCCATAACCACCAGGCAGATTTTCATCAAACTTACACACAAGGATAAGGATATGTTATAGATTTAGTTTGAAGTTAGACATTCCTCAATTTTCAGAAGATTAATTAAACTAAAATAAAATGCCAAATTCAATGTTGAATCAATTTTATTCTGTTTTTTTCTTGATCGGCGTACTTAACAACGGAACACACTCAAGCGGTAAATTAGGTCATAAATCAAGAACGATAGCTGAAATTCACTAATATTGGAAATATTTATCATGGTAGAAAAACGCTAGACTCGCAATTTTCCAAACTTTTTAAAATTTAAAATTAAAATATTTAAAAAGCTTATTCATTGTTCATTATCACTTTTTCTCATAACGTTTGCTGTTTTTATTTTTTACGGTTTCAGTGTCCATACCATTGTATAGATCTGTATTACTTATGTTTATAATATTTTCTCAATAAATTGCCTATTAAATTAGAACAAGCTTGCACATTTTCAAATCATTGAATATATGTATTACATGTACATATGTCCTGATACATAACCAAGTGAAGTTTCAAGTCGATTCTCAAACACTGACTTATCACAAAAATTTGATTTTGCTTGATTCTTAGGTGGAACTGTACTTAATCCAAAGTTGAGTGGTAGTTGAATTCTGATCCCGATCAGAATTAAGACAAAGAAAAACAGAAATTTTAAAAATCGAGGCGGGGTAAAAAATCGGGGCAAGCCAAGAATTGAGGGTAATGTGGTTGTCGTTTTCCTTAAGGACAACTTATTTGTGCTTTGAAATAACCCGTTATTTGCATTGAATTAATAGTTGAACTAAATATTTATGTCATAAAGGAACCTCCGTTCATTGTCCTAGTGTAAAAGTAAGACGTCAACTGTAAAAGTCAGTGCTCCTAGCAAAAATCCAATACTGATGATGATGACAAATATTCTAGAATTGTCCTGAAAATGTATTTTTTCCCTTTTTTGTTTGAGCAGGGTTTTTTTCAGATAGAAAGATAGCTTTTTGAATTTAGGGCAGACTTTTAAGAAATAAAAAGCTTGGAATGGCCTTTCCTAAGTTTAAAGTTAAATGAATTATAGCTGTGCCAATCGAACTTTCCCACAATATTTGGACTTCATGATTTACTGATAAAGCAATAAAATGGAAAATTGATTTCATTTTTTACATTCTTAAAAAAAATTCAAATATGTTTTAAACAAATTTATAAATAATTAAAGGATTTTTAATCCAACAAAAGCTCAAATCATCAGTAATCAAACTGTGAGTAAATGAGCAAATTACCCTCTGGTTTTAAATGGACATTTCTAACAACTTTCTGGACCTCAGAGGTTTTTTGCAACTTTCAAGAAAATGCAAAGTTTATTTCTTATTTCTTGATTAAGCTTTTGCTCCTGAATACTTGCTCATTCGTAATATTTAAGAATTCTGTATAAATATATCCCATAAAGATCAAATGAGTTTAATATCTTTCATATAATGCCAGAATTGTTGTTATAAATGTTTATGAATTTCACTTATTTAAAAAGAAATCCATGTCATCATGGACTGACTTGAATATTTTAGATGTTCATGGACTTAATGAAAAGTGGTATAATATAGGAAAATAAGGTTTTTCCTTGAATTTAGTTTCTTAAATTGTAGGTAAAAAAAGTGCCATTAAATCTAGATACTACAGATATAAGACAGCTTGTAGGAAAAAACATTATGGGGCAAGTTGGAGGAGAGCTTCTTGGCCAATCACAATACTCTGTATTTTATCCACATTCTCTTGGAATCATTTGCATGGAAACAAAGGTAAAAATTGCTTAAACAATATACAGTATTTTCTGAATTGATATTTATTACACAAGTGATGTTTCTGACCAAAGGGTGTCCATGTCTGATGTGTCTTCTGTAACTTTTCATATTTATACCCCCCGCAAACGAAGTTTAGGGGGTATATAGGAATCAACTTGTCCGTCTGTCTAGCTGTCCGTCTGTCTGTGCAATCGTGTCCGGTCCATATCTTTCTTACAAAGGGACATTAGAATCTACTACTCCACACTAAGATTGCTCATGACCTAAGGGTGTGTCATGACCTTGACTTAAGGTAATTTGGGGAAGTTCAAGGTCACTGGAAGAAAAATTTCATAATTCGTGTTTGATACATATCTTTATTATGGAAAAACTTGGTAGGTTCTCATTTCACACAAAGATTGCCCATGACCCAAAGGTGTGTCATGACCTTGACCCAAGGTCATTTGGGGAAGTTCAAGGTCACTGGAAGAAAAAATTCATAATTTGTGTTTGATACATATCTTTATTATGGAAAAACGTACTTCTGAAAAACCCAGCGGGGGGTATTTTGTCCCGTTTGGACAGTTCTAGTTTCAACCTCTCCAGAAACCAGCAATTTTTTTCCCACCAATTGGGAAAGGGTCTGGTACCGGTTCAATTGGGAAAAATAACATCAAAGAAGAACAATAAGAATTTTCTCTCATTTAATCAAATAAAACACATTATGCACTTATTCCAACTTAATTGCTTATTACTATAATATTATACCTGTTTTAAAGAATAAGCAACAAGTGCTCATTGCTTCTTTTTATCAATGTCCCATGTTTTCACATTTTCATGCTTTCAATATGCCAAAATGTATGACCACAGGTGCTTGAGGACAGGACACCCCCCCCCCCCTTTCGATATAGACCCCTGGGCTTTTTCGATTTTTTTCTCATAAAAAATCTTTCAATGTCATATTTGTGATAAGATCTATACCAGCAAATCGAAAAATTACCTAAAACAAACGTTCTATTAAATCTACCCTACATTCTCTATATAAAAATAAACAAGGTTGCCAACTCCGTAAAAAGCTTATTGAACGGAAGTAATGAGGAGAGGACTAATTCCTGATGTTCCCCATATACCCAAATATGCATGTAAAATTTCAACAATAGATATATTCTTGCTTTTTTGTACGAATTCTTCATCAAAATTTTATTTTCAAACGTTTTGTAGATTTACACAAATATTTAAGGAAAAAAAGATTATTTTATTAATTGCATTTTTAAAAGGGCATAACTCTCACATGCAAATCAGGTATTTGAAAAATACCGTATATACTCGCTTATAAGTCGGTTTTTTGGGAGTTAATCTCTGGTCTAAAACTCTTTGTCCGACTTACAGGCGAGCTATTAAAAGTATGGTTTTATATGAGGTCAGTCCATCTGATATGCAAGCTTATTAAATCCAACCGACTAATAGGCGGACCGACTTGTAGGCGAGCATATACGGTAATTAGAGACATTTCATTTGCATCAGCGGTTTAGAACTCTATTCTCCAAATACATTTGAAAGACATTTTTATAGTGTATATCAACCAAATTTCTTCAAAAGTTTACTTCAAAACAGTGTCTCAGACTTTTGATCTGCAGAACTGTGTATTTTGGTAAAAAAAGTCGTCTCCTCGTCACTTCCGTTCACTAAGCAAAAACGCAGACTGTAATTTGTCATGGTTTCACAAACTAGTCTGAACTAATTTTATAATTATTTTCCGCCCCTTAATTTAGTAAAACTTGCATTGTTGTGTCTGTAACAGGAAGGACAAAATTTTAGGAGAACCAGTATTTTGATTTCTTCTTACTCTGAAATCAAATAATTTCCAGGTGGGAGTTAAGTGTTTTTGTGTTCTTCAGATATGTGTTTTATAGTAACAATTAAAAAAAAAATTAATTCTAATTGCAAGGAATTTGTTGATTTTTCAAATATTTTTTTTCTGCGTTTTTTGATAATGACTCATATAGGAAAATTCTTTAGGTAGTTTTCAGGCACTACACCTGATTTAAGATTTTTTTGTAAATCTAGGGTCTAAAATTAATTCCCTGTTCTAACCTGAACATTACAAAACATGACAAAATTATTAGGGCCCCGCAAGGATTTGCGGGTGCCCTATAGTAATCACTCTGTCTGTCCGTCTGTCATTCTTCCGTCCACAAATTTTCTGTTTTTTCCTAATAACTTTTTTTATTGTAGTCCAATTAAGTTCAAATTTGGTGTGTTAGTTCAGTAGGCAAAAAGACATATTTTGAAGCTAAGTTTGTTTTTCTATGTCCTCTGGTTTGGAGCTGGGGTGGTGGGGTAGATTCCTTAACTTTATATAAGAATGAATTGGCAAAGAGAGATAACTTCTGAAAATGTCCCGATTGTAAACTGAATACTGCAATGAATGAATCTCTTGGGATAAATTAGCTTTCCTCCTGAAGAAAATCCAAAGCATTATCTTTATCTGTCACATTGAGATTAATTACCACCTCTGTCTGCAAATGAAGTTTGTTTTGAAGTTAAGTCCATTTGGAATGCTATGAACACTCTGAAATGTGGATTGAAGTATAAATGTTTTTACTGTATTTTTGTTGAAATACCTTACACAATGAGTTCTGAATTCATTAAATAAAGAAGATATATTTTTTTCATTTTTATTTATATATATATATATATTTTTTTTTTTTTTTGCTTCATGAAAATTCAACAATATTATTAATTTTTAAGGCAGTAGGATAAAAACCTCATTCTATCATTACTGAAAAAGTTCTTATTATAAATTAAGAAGAAAATGATGAGGGAGAAGTACAATTAATCCCTTGGGATTAATTATTTAGTCTGCTGCAGAAAATTTAGAAGGCTTATCTTTATCTGTCACTTTAAGATTAATAAAAACCTTTGTCTTCAACTGCTGTTTGTTTTGAAGTTAAGGTCATGCCTTCATGATATATATTTGCATTCATGAAGGCTGGCATTTTATATAACACAAGCTCCATTATTGTTTAGATATACATTCAGTGTTGAGTTGTTCTTTACTGCCTTATGTAAAATAAATACAATAATATTATTTACAGGTTTTTGGATATTCAGGAATTGTCTTGAAATTTTAAGAATACAGTTGCTGTTTCTTATTCGTCATATATTTTTTAATAATTCCATAAGCTACACCCTTATAATTCTACCCCATGGCGGGGCCCTTGCTGACTGGTCAGTTTTCTAGTTTAAATACATTCTTTCGATAGTTCATGAATAATCGCACTGAACAAATGATATACATTGGTATTAATAGCCTATTTAAAACATGTAAATAACATTCTGTTTTATAATAAAACGCATTTTTCATTGTTAAAAAATTCCCCAATTTGCCTTTCACAGCACATGAAATGCATCACTTTTACCAAAATGATGTCATGATTGACAAGCTAATCAAGATCAGTGATCTGTTTATAATCTGCTGTATTGGATTTACCTAGCATCATTTTTAAGTGCATTGATAAGTTTTATTATTGTTTATTAAGCTAATACAGTTAAAAGTTGCAAATTATTTAATTTTCAGGTATTATGAGGAATACATAAAAGTCATATTTTAGTGTGACGTCACAGTAAACTTTTCCCGTACAAATTAGGCCCCACCTCCTTATTTCAGCCTTAACAATGCTGCACCTTGGCCATAACTTTTGAACAGTTGGCGCTAGGGCTTTCATATTTCACAATTGTATTCCTTGTGAGAAGACCTTACCTTGGGTAATCAACATATTTGACTTGTATTTTAGAAAAATTAACCTTCCCTATGTTGTTATATGGGGGCATCAGTGTTTCTCAAACATATCTTTGTTTTCAAAGGAATAAAGGTGGACAATCATAAAAATCCTTCAATGGCTAATGCTACTCAGGTGAGCATTGTGGCCCAGGGATCTCTTGTTACCTTAAATGTTTGAAAAGTCCAACTTTAATAGTACATTTTGAATATTATAGTTTGCAGTTAAGTGTAAAGTTTTACATTATGTCACGATCTTTTCGTCAGATGCACCCAGCATAAACAATTCACTTGATTGGTCAACTCAAATTATCAACATTGACATGGAAATAGTCTGTTGCTTGAGCAACCAATCAGGGATAAGAAGAACGATCCAGTCGTAAAGCTTGTGGCTAGGAGGCGTGTACAATTTACCTTGAGTGCAGCTGTCAACTATATCATGACGTAATGTGAAACTTTACACTTACTTGCAAACTATAATATTTTTTTGAATTCTCCATATTTCTTTGTAGTTAATTTTTGTTCTCCTGAAAATGTCAAAAGAGCATTCAGAGGGCCTATTTTCTGGAGACAAAGGAACAGCAGACGATCCTGGGAAGATTCATTACACTGAGCCATTTGACATATTAAGAGCAGAGGACAGGTCTAAAATTGCAGAATTTATGTTTTGGTTAGGATTAGTTCAAAATACAAGCAAATACAAGTATTTTGAATCATGTCAATAGATTAGCTGCATTTGGTCCATTGATCATGATTGTTCATATGACAGGGAACATTTAATTTGTTTAAAAATTTGTTTAATCAAATTTTTAACACCTCTTAGAAACAGGAATCTATTGATTTGGTACCCCCTGTGAAAATCCCAGCAGGGGGTATTTGTCTATTTTGGACAGTTTTTCTTTACTATTGACATTTACCAGGTCCATTATTGACATGAGTAGCAATGATATCTATACTAACACTTTGAAATTCATGGCTTTTATGAACCAGTCTCAAAGATTAGGCCAGTAAGTTATATATTGAAAATGCATTATATCTTTATTCATGGACTTCTAGCAGGAATTATAATGTCAGACTTTTGAAAAATGTGTCCCTTTGGTTCAGCATTTCAGACTACAGATTTACTTTTTTTGTCAGCGAGTGTTCTCACAAATTACTCATCCAATGGAATTAAAACCTTTTTAGGGTAAATAGGGTAAATGTTGTGTAGATGTGTGGAACAAAGGTCATTTTGTGCTAATAAGCATGCACTTGCGGGCATGAAATGAGTGGAATGACTGATATACTTAATATAGCCATAACTTTTTCATTTTTGATGAAATGCTTCAAAACTCTTTATATAATGATCTAATAATGATAATTTTAAAACATAGTCATACATAAGGATGTTCTACAATATATAAAATTTTCATGAAATTACACGCATGCATGTGTGCTGCAATATAATTGGCTTAAACTTTAAGGATGTATGATCCTCAGCAAGGAAGGATAACTCCAAAAATTAGGGATGTCAAAATATTTATTTTCCTTAGTCGAACATTGGATTGCATTATTCGAACAATAGTCGACTATTCGAAGCATTTTATGAAAGAAAAAATCTCATCGATAGTGTTTTCATAAATCAAAAAACCTTTTCGTAAATTTATGTAAAAAGTAACATCAAATGCCTATACTGTGTGTTACACACCGATGCTACTTAAGACGTCATATCATGTTCATTCATAAGTAGGTAACAATGACCTACTTTTTCAATTTAGTGGCATTCTTTTTCAAATTAATTTATCGACATTTCAGACACTTTAAGGCCTATGATCATCAAACTTTGTCATTTAATGCATCTCATGTCCTTGGAGTACGTCAGCTGAAAAGTAGGTCACCATGACCTATATTTTGAATTTTATGTTGCATTTTGAATTGATTTACAAAGAGTGTTAACATGTTATAAAGTACAAAATCTCCTGAAATTATTGTTGAATTTGAATTTTCCTGCAGTGTGCATGTGCAATAAATTTGTATGTTCTTTAAACAGAGTACATAATCAATTGTTGTCAAATAACTTTAAAGATGGCTCAGGAATGTTGTACTATTCTTCTCAACTTTGTTTTTGTTAGTTATTGAGAAGTATTGTATTTTTTAAAATTATAAATTGATAAATATTGAACAGGTTTGTGACTTTCATCTGTATATTTTGTTCATAATAATGTTTAGAATCTGTTCCTTATATTTATAGAAAAATTAGATCTCATATTTTTGTATTATTTACAGATATCATTTCAATATGCAGATTACTTCATTTATTGTTTTGAATACAGTAAACATGTAAATGCTTTGTATAGTGTATTATGTTTTGCATATTTTTACTGAGTTTACTCAGGTGACCTATTGCTATCCGTTTCCGTCCGTTGTTGTGCGTCATGCGTCAACATTTGAACATTTTCAGCTTCTTCTCTGCTACCACTGAACCAATTTCAATGAAATTTGGCACAAAGCATCTATGGGTGAAGGAGAACAAAAATTATGAATTTCATGATCCCTGCCCCCCTGGGGCCTGAGGGGTGGGGCCAAAACCACTAAAATTCATGCAGTCTTTAAAAATCTTCTTCTTTACTCCTGGACATCAAGCAGTCAAACTGTTTGCATGATTGTGATCAGCATTGAGTCCTCTACCTAAATTATGAAATTCATTGCCCTGGGGTCAGGGGTTCTAGTGCTAGGGCGGGGCTAAATAAGTATATAGTGAAAATGCATCATTTCTTGGAAAATTTTCTTTTCTGCTCCTGGGTATTAAATAAACCAACTAAGTACATAGTTATGATGAGCAAGAGTGCCTCTACCAAAATTGTGATTTTTATGGCCCCAGGTTCAGGGGTTCTGGTGTTAGGGTGGGGTTCTATTGATTATATAGTGAAAATACATGAATTCTTTGAAAATCTCCTTCTGTACTCCTGGGTATTAAATAGACTAATAAAGTGCATAGTTATGATGAGCAAGAGTGCCTCTACCAAGATTGTGAATTTTGTGGCCCCATGGTCAGGGGTACTGGTGTTAGGGCAGGGCTCTATTGATTATATAGTGAAAATACATGAATTCTTTGAAAATCTTCTTCTCTGCTCCTGGGTATTAAATAGACTTACTAAGTGCATAGTTATGATGAGAAAGAGTGCCTCTACCAAAATTGTGAATTTAACGGCCCCAGGGTCAGGGGTTCTGTTGTTGAGGGGGGGGGGGGGGGCTCATTGGTTATTGAAAATCTCCTTCTGTACTCCTGGGTATTAAATAAACTAACTGAGTGCATAGTTATGATGAGAAAGAGGGCCTCTACCAAAATTGTGAATTTTATGGCCCCAGGGTCAGGGGTTCTGGTGTTAGGGCGGGGCTGTAGTGATTATATAGTGAAAATACAGAAATTTTTTGAAAATCTTCTTCTCTGATCCTAGGTATTAAATAAACCAACTAAGTACATAGTTATGATGAGCAAGAGTGCCTTTTCAAAAATTGTAAATTTTATGGCCCCAGGGTCAGGGGTTCTGGTGTTAGGGCGGGGCTCTATTGATTATATTGTGAAAACAAATGAATTCTTTGGAAATTTTCTTCTCTGCTCCTGGGTTTTAAGCAGATGAACTACCTATATAGTTATGAGCAAGGGCCCTAATCTTCCAGAATTGTGAATTTTATGGCTGCAGGGTCAGGAGTACCATAGGGATGGGTTGTACTTATAGACTGAAAAGGAAAGAATTGTTTGAAATCTGCTCCTTGGTACATGTATTAATCAAATAATTCTGAAAAGTAAGGATGCCTTTTTAAAAATTGTGCAATGTGTGGATCTAGGCCTAAGGGTAGGGCTGGGACGATACAACATTTTCTATATCGATACGTATCACGATATTTGAGCCACGATACGATATGTATCACGATATGTTGAATTAGTTATTAAAAAAAATTTTGTATTGAAATGAACAAAACATTTCTTCACAAATGAGAATAATTTATTCAAAGAAGTTGTATATCTGTTGTAAAACAAAATTATTTTACACAAGTGGGGTTTATTATTATGTATTTCATATTTATATTTATATTCTGCATATTAATTTTTATATATCTAATCCAAAATATTAAACAAACAAAGAAAAAACATGTCAGAAATTTTTTTTGCGATATTTCGATATTTCTTCATACGTATCGATATGCGTATCATCCTCACATTGAATCGATATTCTCGATATCTCGATATATCGTCCCAGCCCTACCTAAGGGTCATGGGTTCATGTGTGGTAGGGGCACTACTGATTATTGCTGAATATTACTGATTAGTTGAAATGCATTTTTAATTCCCCTACCATGCCAATGTTATTAAGTAACAAACTAAGCAACTGCTAAGTGTATAGTTATGATGATCAATTGTGCCTCTTTCAAAATTGCGAATGCCATAGCATCTGGCTTAAAACATGAATCAAATTCAATCACTGGAAAGTTGTTACATAATGCTCAGGTGACCTATAAGGCCCATGGGCCTCTTGTTTTACTTGAATACTTGGTTGATATGAATACTTTGTTGGTATTTACGTTGTATATTGTAATGTGTTGTATATAAATACCTATATATAGACCATGACTTTCTGGTCATTTATTTGTATATCACAAGTCAGATGGCATGTAAGTAAATTGATTGACGAATTAATAGAATATACTGCTCACAATTTCTGTCAATTTATATTCTGTGGAAGCTCAGTTCATGTGATGAAAATTCAATAAATTCATAAATGATTAATATATGATTAATGCTCTTGTTTATTTAGTCATTTTGTAAATACAAAGCCCCCATAAATTTGCAGTTGTGTTGAGTTTCATAGAATATTAATATGTTTTAACCATGTTAATATTGATAAACGGCCTTGAAGGATGATTAAGTTTTGCAAAGAAATAGAATTAGAATAGAATGTGTGGAGATAATGAACAGTAATCAAGCTCAAAAGTCCATTGAAAATTACAAAATAGGAGCGGAGCAAACACTGATCTCCAAAACATCAGAGATGAGATCAAGTGCCATGGAGGAGTGAGCATTCCCTGCCTGCTGCTCACATCCGCTGTGTTCTCCTTGTCATGTTCGGGAACCAAAACGGAAAATAGGTGGACAACTCGGTGTGTAAATAATGACCTAACAATCACTTTGAAAAAAAAAGTCAATCGGCATTTTACCAAATGATAAATTGTATTTGCTGACAAGGTCATTGTATTGACCATGAAATATGACAAAAGGCTGTGCAGGTTGAAGATCTATTTTAAAGTACCTCACAATTTGTAACAATACATGTGTCATTTCTTCATTACGTTCTAAATATGGCTGGAATATTGTCCACTCGGTGTAAAAAAAAAAACAAAAAAAAGAAACAATCATTACGTTCTTGACTATTTTCAATTCAAAAAAGTTGGCACCTGTAGACAGTCACACTTATTGATTCACAGATGATCCATATGTGGAATTTTTTTTTTAACTTCAAAATAGGTTCATTAACGTTTGTTGAAGGGTCTATTTGATCACATTATTAATTGAGATTGATATGAACGTAAAAGGAAGAAACTTTTTGACAGACGAAAATACTAGTGTTAAATGTTTATCTTACATGTACTAGAAGTTAACTACAAGAGTTGGCACATAATTTGTTTCTATTTCTTTAGGTGTCTCCTTAGGCCAATTGTACAACGAAACAAAGATCTGTTTGCTAAAAAGGATAGTGAGTTAGGCCACACTAAAACTGTAACAATGAAAATAGAAACTGGTGACCACCCCCAATTAAAAACAGACCTTACAGAACTCCGCTCAACAAAAGACAAATTATTGATAAAGCTATCGATGAAATGCTTGATGCAAAAATCATACAAAGATCACAATCGCCTTGGTCTTTCCCTTTGGTAGTAGTTGGAAAGAAAGACGGAACACAAAGAATGTGTGTAGATTTTCGGTCATTAAATAAAATTGTAAGACAAGCATCCTATCCACTTCCGCTAATAGATGATATCCTAAGTTTATTGGATAAATCTAAACATTTTACTACACTAGACCTTCAAAGCGGATATTGGCAAGTTTAATTAGATGAAGAAAGTAAAGAAAAATCTGCATTTGCTTGTCATAAAGGTTTATTTCATTTTAACAGAATGCCTTTTGGTTTAAGTAATGCACCCGCAGTATTTCAAGAGCTTATGAACATTGTCCTACAAAGATACAAAAATATTTGTCGACGCCTACACTGTAAAAAAATGATGTTTAATGTAAACCTATAGGGTTTAGAAGGGTCATTTTATTTGAACATTTTAAACTTGGACTATAATCATTTCATATCATAATCATTTTAGTTATTAATAGTGAACTTATTAGTGATGGTAAAATAAAATGAAAGTTTATCAAACAAGGATGAACATTATTATAGTGTACCACATACAGTGACTTTATAATTGGAAAAGAGACTTTAATTCCATGAACCATAATTATCTTGTTAGAACAAATTTGATATTGTTGTTGGTACAATGAACTATGATTTTGTAAATCACTTTGTAGGAAAATCAATCAGAATCACAGGAGTTCGCGTACCTATCAATTTTGCCGAAATTTTCGGTAAATAAAAAAGATACGTAATACCTTATAGGTATTACGTATTTTTTTATTTAATGAAAATTTCGGTATAATTGATAAGTACGCGAACTCCTGTGATCAGAATAGACCAATCGAGTCCATTGAAACTTAGTAATAAAATTTGAATGGAAATGCAAAGTTATATAAAGATTCTTGATCAAGAGTAATAAAACTGGGAACTTTGAAGTAGATAAGTAAAAGAGCTTAGGGCTAGAACTCCTGTGGTGCGGAGATGGGGACTGAGTCCATAAACATTACTAACGTATGTTTACCTGTATTTGAGGGTGGTGCCATGTTGGGGTTCATAGGTCAACGGACAGACCTACGGACAAAGCGTAGGTGGCAGGGCAATGGTAAGACGGCCAATGGAAAGTACTTTTATATATCCGGGACCATGAATACGGGTATCCTCTGAGTACAAAATACCCTGTTTTGCCAGAAATCGGGTCATTGCCATTATCTTTCATCTTCCTAGATTCGAGACAAAATTCTAAATTCTTTGCCTTTCTTTTTAAATATTTTGGACTCTTAATTTTCGGACTTTTAGTTCCAAGCTCTTCTTATACGAGGGGTTATCAAAAAGTTCGTGGACCGGCGCAATAAAATTAAAACCGTTTTAGGTATAGCGATGAATTTTACAATATTTAGTTAGCATCATCTTTTCTATCTATAGAAAAAACCACAAATCATAGATTTTATTTTGTTGATAAATTAATAATGTTTTTGTAAGCAATGCTTTGTCTAGGCGGCGCAACCTCGAAAATGACGTTTTTTCGCCCTCATTAATACTGAGAAAAACGCCTTTGTTATGAACATCTGACATCAAAAAATCCCATTAAGGTTTGTGATGGGATGGTATTAGTCCGTAAAATTTGCAATTTTTACATCATTCGGTAAGTTCTATAAAATTTTATCGTACATTTTTTATCGAGTGTCCAAACAATTAAGGGCTCTAAAATGACGTCAAAAGGGGGGAGGGTGTTCTTTTTCCAACATTTTATAAAGTTTTGCGCGCTGAAAAAAAAAACTGTTATACTCCTAGGAAATGTTGAATCTGATTTCCGAGAAGTAAAATGCATCCAGAAGACTTGTTTTTAATGCCAAAACAGATTCCGAGAGAAAAGGAATGAACAGTTAATGTCGATTTGTACTCAAGGTATGAAAAGTCAATCACGTCAAAAAATGACGTTGGTTATTTGTGGTAGATATGTATAAAATTCAAAACTTGCGGTAAGGTTTCGTGCCGATGTATGGAATAATTATTTTACTGAAAGGACAGTGGGATTCTTGCAGCACTTTTTAGTTAAAATAGATGTTTTTCAACTAAATTATTTACTCAAAGAAATTATTAAACTCCGGGATATTGTTGTTCTGTTAGGTTTTTTTTATTAAGGAAAATTTAGCTATAAATAAAAGAAGTCACGTGATGCCGTGGTGGTGGTACACACCTTTGCATTAGACACTCTTTTATCTGTATGCAATAGTTAATAACAGTTTACCTTTATCAGTGGTTTTGGTAATTTATCAAAGTTAATTTTCTATAAAAAGTCAAAATTTCCTGAGAAACGACTTATATGCTTCATTAACGAGGCCCGATCTACTTGATCTGCGCATACGTTTTAATTAACGCAGCGTCGACTCATGCAGGCACGTCACAATACCCATTACTGCCGTCACATTTGAACACAATAACGTCACAATTAAAATGACGTCATATTGCGCTAAAATGTTTCGCTGATCTTGCTTACCTGGTTATTCTATAGACTGTGCATTGAAAGTTGACATTTCTATTAATTTTTTTAAATATTTAAATTAATAAACAACTTTGGAACCTAATAAATTTGAGGGATCGATTTTTTTGGTACAAATTCTTTAATTTATCTTGTTTGATTTCAATTTGTGAGTTTAAAAAAAACAAACACTGCAACCAAAAGTAAACGATTTTAGTCTTTCCCTTTGAACATGTTGAAGTGTTTATAACACACTTTTTTTTTATTGCGGACTTAAATATGCATGGATTATCTTCAGTTTAAAAAAATAAAATAAGTCTCTAAATCATTTCAATGCAACCCCCGAAATATTTTATTTTTCTATATATTACATGATATTAGTAAAAATCGTAATTTTTTCGCCTTTACCCACCCCCCTCCCCCCTCCTCCCTCTACCCCTTTTTTCCACGTAAAACAAAGTCGCGTGTTAAGAGAAAAATAAAGCATGGCGAGAAAATTATTTCATAATGTAAGAATTTTTTTATTTTTAGAAACTAAAACAGTATTGCAATCGTTTGTTGGTGTTATGTAAACCCACTGCGACCTATAAAATGGTTTATTCCCTGAATGGCTACTCGGAAAAAACAACAAGTAATTATCACACTCAATTAAGGGGCCTTCTAAGGGGTGCAGGTAGACTTACCTGTATGAATAATGTACTAGAATGTAAACTATTAAAATAACTGAATGGATTTTCAATTCAATTTTCTTTATTTATTTGAGCACTAGTATGAATAAATATTTTGTATACATATTTTTAAATAAATAATTTTACAAGCAAAAAACATATTAAAAACTATAAATTATCTTGAAGTTCTATTGTTTAGCAGCACTGATTTTCACATTATATATTAAATAGCACTGTTTCACTTTCATATCACACATATTTACAAGTCATTTAGTCCATCTCCGTATATCTGTATATATACTGTTCTGTAGCTTGTGTTGTTCTTGTATAACTTCAAACTTGGACTGCATCATTAGGCAAGTTCAGCACATCATTTTCTTTGACATTTGTTAACATAGTTTTGCTTATTAAAAATTTCAACTAGTGAACTGATATTATCAGGTCCTTCATCAATTAGCTTATTAACTTAGGAATACCTTAAAAATCAAAGTGATCTGTTTTTATCTTGAATCGTCTATATATTTATTATAAAAATTGAAATATAAACTTCTGTATTCTATGATGATATAAAAGAATGTTTTAAAAATGATAAATAAGTGAATTACTAGACAAGCTTTTTTTATCATACATAAATATCTATATTATTTTAAGAAAAGATCATTTATGTTAATTTATTTAAAAGAGTTTGAAAATGAAGCACAAAAAGGGGATAATAGTTTGTAAATTCTCAATCAATACTATTGAATAGTTTGGAAAAAACAAAATTAAAAGTACAATAAAAATTTATTTTTCTGAAATCTTAATTTTATTTATTTATATTCATTTATCTTTTTTTTATTCAGTATATTTCAGAAAATAAAAAAAATCTCTTAATTATAATAAAATTGAATGAATATATCTGATTGTTAAAATATTGCTTATCCAGGTAATTGAGTGTGATAATTACTTGTTTTTTCCAAGTAGCCATTCGGGGAACACACCTATAAAATACGTAGTTGGATAGAATAAATCCAAATTTTGTGTTTAGACATGCCCCCTTTTCACTGCAATAAAGGCTACCTCCAATTTTCTTTTCATTTTTTATAAGAAGAATGAGAATTGCACGATATATGTGAAAAACAAAGAATTTCATCACGTATTTTTTTTTAAATTTGTAAATTTCTTTGTTTATTAAATAGTTTTAGTATGTAATTGTGTATAAAAACACGACAAATGGTCCATATCTTGACAGTGCCCCCATTTGACTTCAATAAAGGCAAGGTAACAAAATTGCACTCTAATTTTTCTAAGCATAAAACATACGAATATATTTCAAAGAATTAAAATTTTTTATCATTCCGTTTTCGTAATTTTCAACTAGATCGGGCCTCGTTAACATACCCGATTTTATATGAAGAAAAGCTTTTATCATGTTGTGTTGATTCCTTATTACCGAGAGTAAAAGTAAATAATATTGGGAAAATTAAAACAAAAATCATCTCGAAATTGAATTTCTTAACACAAGGAATATGCGTTTAATCATATTGTACATAAGTAGTGATCTTAGTTCGCTTCTTATCAGTGTTGTTTAAGAAAAAGAGAAATTATTTAAAGCAATATCTTGTAATGGACAGGCAAGAGAAAATGGTAATGAAGTTAACCTCGACCAAAATACGGTTGTTACCACTACCGGCCTAGTAAATTCGTCAAAAATAAACAATGATATCTTCAGAAATAAAGTGTTGATATATTTTGTACACGATCCGGTCTATCTGATCACGGATGTAAAATGGCGCCAAAACGTTACACAAACGCTACGTAAATTTCAAAACCATACCATGTATCAAAATATTCTCCAAAAATGGCAGATTTTATATCTTTGATCTCAAAATTCACTTTGGCCGCAATGAACGCGATTCATGAAACTAACATATATTTTTTATATTAACGCAACAATGTTTCGATATAACAACACCTTGTGAATCGCGTTTCCAATAAATTGAGTTTATATGTTATTCCGGATTTCAAGTTGAGAAATCTAATGTGAACTTATTTTTTTAATTAAAGGCACCGTAATTGCTGTAAAGAATTTTAAAAGTTTACAAAATAAGTCAACTCATTATCATTAAGAACTTAGACTGAACAATAAATTAGGTAGACAACATATTTTAGCCACCCTTCAGGTGAAAATTACCGATATGATAACGTTAGATCAGCATGCTTAACGATTGAAGTAAAAGTGTTCATCTGACCCCCCAAAACAAAAAATATTAAAAATAGAATTTTAAGATTGTAAAAGTACGTAGATAAGTAAATGTGCAAATAATCAAGACTTTTAGCACTTGTTTATGTTTCTTTTGCAACTAATATAATTGTTTATTTCTCGCCTGCGAATGATTATGAATATTTTTTAAGAAATAAGTATCATTTTTTGAGTGTTATTGGGATGTAAAACGGGTTGGCACATGATCAAATCTTCCATGTTTCGGGCTTTATGGAAAATTTGATCATGTGCCAACCCGTTTTACATCCCAATAACACTCAAAAAATGATACCTTATTACTTATATTTACATTTGTGACTTATTCATACTTTAAATTTGCCTGATTGTGACTTTTAACGTGTGAAATGCATTATTTTTCAAACCCAAAGGCATGTATGTAATCCACTGAACGCGCGTCGACCCTTTATGACGTCACTGAGAAATTACGTCGAACGTTTATCCATACGAACATCTATGACCTCTTGACCCGATACCTGTATTTATGCGCTTGCTTTCAGTAGTGTTATATAAAGGAAAACATTTGCAAATGTAAATATACGAATATGAATTGCAATAAACTCATAGATGGCGTCACAATAGAGGCAATCAGAAGTTGGACGGTTATTCGCTATTCACCATTCGAATGGCGAACCCCAGGCTGTCTCCCGGTTCGCTATACAAATTACCGTAAATGTCCTAATAATTTTTTTTTTCAAAAAACTTTAATAACGCAGTATATTCCGTGTTTAAGAAAAAAAGCAAAGACATCACTTAAAGAAGAAGACTGAGGATCCCAAACCAATGCAGCTAGCCTGACCAAAATGATGAATATTTAGCTAGCCTGGTCAAAATAAGGGGGGAAAACGTTTAATACGATTATAAGTTTTTATATGTATTTCTGAATAAGAGTACATTGCCCGGGGGGCTGGCTAACACCCTGGATCCCATATTTAAATCTTCATATTTTTACAGGGGAGGGGTATGGGAGGGACCCTTCCACTGTCAAAAGGAATTTATGTTACAAGACCGGGAACATATTTAGCTCGCCCGGTAAAAATTGAGAAAAACCCTTATAATTCTATTATATGTATTTCTGAATAAGAGTACATTGCCCGTGGGTCTGGCTAACATCCTGGATCCCATATATAGATCTTCATATTTTTACAGGGGAGGGGTATGGGAGGGACCCTTCCACTGTCAAAAGGAATTTATGTTACAAACCGGGAACATATTTAGCTAGCCCGGTGAAAATTGAAAAAAAACCCTTATAATTCTATTATATGTATTTCTGAATAAGAGTACATTGCCTGGGGGGCTGGCTAACACCCTGGATCCCATATTTAGATCTTCATATTTTTACAGGGGAGGGGTATGGGAGGGACCCTTCCACTGTCAAAAGGAATTTATGTTACAAGACCGGGAACATATTTAGCTAGCCCGGTGAAAATTGAGAAAAACCTTTATAATTCTATTATATGTATTTCTAGATAAGAGTACATTGCCCGTGGGCCTGGCTAACACCCTGGATCCCATATTTAAATCTTCATATTTTTACAGGGGAGGGGTATGTGAGGGACCCTTCCACTGTCAAAAGGAATTTAAGTTACAAGACCGGGAACATATTTAGCTAGCCCGGTGAAAATTGAGAAAAACCCTTATAATTCTATAATATGTATTTCTGAATAAGAGTACATTGCCCGGGGGGCTGGCTAACACCCTGGATCCCATATTTAGATCTTCATATTTTTACAGGGGAGGAGTATGGGAGGGACCCTTCCACTGTCAAAAGGAATTTATGTTACAAGACCGGGAACATATTTAGCTAGCCCGGTGAAAATTGAGAAAAACCTTCATAATTCTATTAAATGTATTTCTGAATAAGAGTACATTGCCCGTGGGCCTGGCTAACATCCTGGATCCCATATATAGATCTTCATATTTTTACAGGGGAGGGGTATTGGAGGGACCCTTCCACTGTCAAAAGAAATTTATGTTACAAGACCCGGAACATATTTAGCTAGCCCGGTGAAAATTGAAAAAAAAAACCTTATAATTCTATTATATGTATTTCTGAATAAGAGTACATTGCCCGGGGGGCTGGCTAACACCCTGGATCCCATATATAGATCTTCATATTTTTACAGGGGAGGGGTATTGGAGGGACCCTTCCACTGTCAAAAGGAATTTATGTTACAAGACCCGGAACATATTTAGCTAGCCCGGTGAAAATTAAAAAAAAAAACCTTATAATTCTATTATATGTATTTCTGAATAAGAGTTCATTGTCTGGGGGGCTGGCTAACACCCTGGATCCCATATTTAGATCTTCATATTTTTACAGGGGAGGGGTATGGGAGGGACCCTTCCACTGTCAATAGGAATTTATGTTACAAGACCGGGAACATATTTAGCTAGCCCGGTGAAAATTGAGAAAAACCTTTATAATTCTATTAAATGTATTTCTGAATAAGAGTACATTGCCCGTGGGCCTGGCTAACATCCTGGATCCCATATATAGATCTTCATATTTTTACAGGGGAGGGGTATGGGAGGGACCCTTCCACTGTCAAAAGGAATTTATGTTACAAGACCGGGAACATATTTAGCTAGCCCGGTGAAAATTGAAAAAAAACCCTTATAATTCTCTTATATGTATTTCTGAATAAGAGTACATTGCCCGGGGGGCTGGCTAACACCCTGGATCCCATATTTAGATCTTCATATTTTTACAGGGGAGGGGTATGGGAGGGACCCTTTCACTGTCAAAAGGAATTTATGTTACAAGACCGGGAACATATTTAGCTAGCCCGGTGAAAATTGAGAAAAACCTTTATAATTCTATTATATGTATTTCTAGATAAGAGTACATTGCCCGTGGGCCTGGCTAACACCCTGGATCCCATATTTAAATCTTCATATTTTTACAGGGGAGGGGTATGTGAGGGACCCTTCCACTGTCAAAAGGAATTTAAGTTACAAGACCGGGAACATATTTAGCTAGCCCGGTGAAAATTGAGAAAAACCCTTATAATTCTATAATATGTATTTCTGAATAAGAGTACATTGCCCGGGGGGCTGGCTAACACCCTGGATCCCATATTTAGATCTTCATATTTTTACAGGGGAGGAGTATGGGAGGGACCCTTCCACTGTCAAAAGGAATTTATGTTACAAGACCGGGAACATATTTAGCTAGCCCGGTGAAAATTGAGAAAAACCTTCATAATTCTATTAAATGTATTTCTGAATAAGAGTACATTGCCCGTGGGCCTGGCTAACATCCTGGATCCCATATATAGATCTTCATATTTTTACAGGGGAGGGGTATTGGAGGGACCCTTCCACTGTCAAAAGAAATTTATGTTACAAGACCCGGAACATATTTAGCTAGCCCGGTGAAAATTGAAAAAAAAAACCTTATAATTCTATTATATGTATTTCTGAATAAGAGTACATTGCCCGGGGGGCTGGCTAACACCCTGGATCCCATATATAGATCTTCATATTTTTACAGGGGAGGGGTATTGGAGGGACCCTTCCACTGTCAAAAGGAATTTATGTTACAAGACCCGGAACATATTTAGCTAGCCCGGTGAAAATTAAAAAAAAAAACCTTATAATTCTATTATATGTATTTCTGAATAAGAGTTCATTGTCTGGGGGGCTGGCTAACACCCTGGATCCCATATTTAGATCTTCATATTTTTACAGGGGAGGGGTATGGGAGGGACCCTTCCACTGTCAAAAGGAATTTATGTTACAAGACCGGGAACATATTTAGCTAGCCCGGTGAAAATTGAGAAAAACCCTTATAATTCTATTTTATGTATTTCTGAATAAGAGTACATTGCCCGGGGGGCTGGCTAACACCCTGGATCCCATATTTAGATCTTCATATTTTTACAGGGGAGGGGTATGGGAGGGACCCTTTCACTGTCAAAAGGAATTTATGTTACAAGACCGGGAACATATTTAGCTAGCCCGGTGGAAATTGAGAAAAACCTTTATAATTCTATTAAATGTATTTCTGAATAAGAGTACATTGCCCGTGGGTCTGGCTAACATCCTGGATCCCATATATAGATCTTCATATTTTTACAGGGGAGGGGTATTGGAGGGACCCTTCCACTGTCAAAAGGAATTTATGTTACAAGACCCGGAACATATTTAGCTAGCCCGGTGAAAATTGAGAAAAACCGTTATAATTTTATTATATGTATTTCTGAATAAGTGTACATTGCCCGGGGGGCTGGCTAACACCCTGGATCCCATATTTAGATCTTCATATTTTTACAGGGGAGGGGTATGGGAGGGACCCTTCCACTGTCAAAAGAATAAATAAATTTATGTTAATGGTACTTGTTAATAAACAATTGCATCATCTCTGTATTTTTACGTCAGGAATCGGAAAAAAAAACTTCGAGGTTGTTTTCTGATTGTTTAGGTGCGATTGATTGAACAATCATCGGACTCGGAGACATCTTAGCCTCGTAATTTATTTTATATTACGACTTTTATTATGCCCCCGTAAAAGAAATTTGTGGGGGGGGGGGGCATAATTTTTTTTGTGTCCGTCTAAATGTCTAGTTTTCCCTCTGTTTGTTTGTCCGCAAAAACTCTAACCTTGCCCATGACTTTTGATTTAGTGGAGCTTTGACTTTCTCATTTCACATGTGTATTTCTTGTGACAAGACCTTTCTTTGGATACCACCAAATTTGACCTTTTGACCTTGTAGTTTGACCCACTTTTACACAAAATTTCCAAACTTTTTCTTTGTCCATATCTTTTGAACAGTAGATACCAGGACATTTATACTTCACATATATTCTTTATGGGGAAACATTTTATTGGATACCAACAATTATGACCTTTTTTGAACTTGAACTTGTAGATTTCTGTCCTTGTGAAAAAACTCTAACCTTGGCCATAACATTTTGAACGGTAAGGGATAGGGCTTTTATACTTCACATATATAGTCCTTGTGAGTAGTTCCTTTATTTGATACCAAGAACTTTGACCCTTTGACCTTGACCTTGAAATTTGACCTACCTTTAAAAAGCATAAGTTGAAAAGGATAAGGACTAGTGCATTCATACTTTACATATTTCATCCTTGTGACAAGATCTTTCTTTCTTTGGGTACCACCAAATCTGAACCTTTGACCTTAGCCTTGGACCTACATTTCAAATTTGACAACCTTGACCCTAACCTTTGAAGTGGTAGGGCTAGGGCTTCCATACTTCACATATGTATTTTTTGTGGCAAGTCCTTTCATTCGGTACCAATAACCATGACCTTTTGACCTTGACCTTGGAGTTTTCAGTACTTATGAAAAAACTTCAATCCTGGCCATAACTTTTAAACGCTGAGTGCTAGTGATATTTCACATATGTAATCCTTTTGACAGGACCTTTTATTTAATATAAAGAATTATGACCCTTTGACCTTGGAGTTAGACCTACATTTTAAACTCGGTAACCTCGGCCATAACTTTTGAAGGGTTAGAGCTAAGGCTTCCATGCTTCGCATATGTATTGTTCATGGCAAGACCTTATAATTGATACTAATTGCCTTGACCTTGGAGATTTCCGTACTTATGAAAAAAAAAATTTAACCTTGGCCTACTTTCATATTTCACAATTGTATTTCCAATGAGAATACCCTACTTTGGATACCAATATATTAAATTTGCATGTAAGAAATGTTTGACCTTTGCTATGTTGCCATTTGGGGGCATCAGTGTTGCACGAACACATCCTTTTTTAAATTTGTTTCTCAACGAAAATGAAGAGAAATTCTGCATTTTATAGTAGTAATATCTAAAATATAAGTTCATTTTTTTCAGTTGTAAAAATTTCATTATCAACTTTTGTTTGATATTATACAGATATAGATCCACAGATACAGTTGTGTATATCGACTTCAAAGAAAGGGGCAATACTCTTTTTGTGAAGTAGATATATCTATGGATTGATTGACTGAAAGGACTACGTTTGTTTGTTTTTTTTAACTGAAATTAATAAAACAAAATGACTTGTATAAGCCATACGTTTCCTCTTTCTTCTTTTTATTCCCAAAAGAAGTTTTGAGGTGTATATAGGAATTATCTTGTCCGTGTAGATGTCTGTTCGTTTCGATTGCTGTCTGGTTGCCTGTGCAAACGGGTCCGATCCATATCTTTCTTATGGTGAAACTTTATAATCTACGTATACTTTTTCCTACAAAAATTGCTAAAGATCCTATAAAAGTTGCCCATGACCTAAGGATGTCGCATGACTTTAACCAAAGATCATTAAGACACGTTCAAGGTCACTAAGAGAAAAATTTCAAAATTTGTGTCCGGCCCATATCTTTCTTATATGTATAAACTTTTTGAGTTCCCAATTTACGCAAAGATTACTTATGAATTGAGGTTGTTATTTTCTTCCCCATGCAAAAAACTTGAATTTACCACTGTCATGACCTTGACTCATAGTAATTTGTGCAAGTTCAAGATCACTAAAAGAAAAGTGCATGATTTATTTCTAGTCAATATATTTATACAAAATTTTATTCACAGAAGTGAATGGGATTGGGCAGCAGGCAAAGCCTATTTTAGCCCTCTCCCTTTCTAGTCAATATCTTTCGTATTGATAAATTTGGTGGGTTCTTCTTTGATACAAAGATTGCTTATGACCTAAGAGTTTGACTTGACCATTATTCAAGGTTATATGTGTAAGTTCAAGGTCACTGGATGAAGAAAAATGAATTGATATTAGATCAATATCTTTCCGAGATGAGTTTCTATTTTATTTGGTCAAGTTCAAGGTCTTGTCCATATATTCACTTCGAAATAATTTTATTCCTTTATCAATTACAAATATCCATACATAACGCATGTTCAAATGTCAAAGTAAGCCATCAACTGTAAAAGTCAGTGTTTCTTGGAATTAAAAGCCTTTAACTCAATGTGTAAACAAATTGTGAACACCAATACTAGTCTTAGTAACTTGGCACTTTCTCTGAAAAAACTATCAGGGGTATTGTCCCTTTTGAACAATTCTAGTTTAACACAAATTAAAGAAAACTAGAGGTACTGAGCGCAACGAGCTCACTGCCCCAGCCTCCCATATGATTATAATGACAACGTCACTGTTTTGCTCTTGGAGCCCCGACAAGTGTCAGATAAAAAGTAAAATTTCAGGTGCACAATGAAATTATGTAATGCAGAATCTGTTAAAGTATCATTAAATATTATTACTAGAGATTACGTCACATCATGGCTGACGCAAAATAATTCCTGAATCTCCCCTTCCGATTCTAGCATTTTGAAACGAGACTGGAGCTGATTTTTTAATAAGATGAAAAACAACATGTAAACTTCCTATATTGACCAGATTTATTAAAATTTATAGGGCATGTTGATTTTATACTGTATTTGAGAGGGGAGTGATTAAGCTTTAGACTTGATTTTCAAGCACCAAAGAACTATCTACTGTTTATGTCGGTCTCTCGATTGGCAAATAGTGTTGGAAGACTTTCCGCGGTCTAGTTCCTTATATCTTAAAATCTTTTGTGAAACTCATTAACATGGCTTTAAATTGACCAAAATTGTGAAATTCATGGCCCCAGGGTCAGGGGTTCTGGCTCCAGGGTGGGGCAATATAGATCATTTAGTGAAAGTGCATTATTTCTTTGAAAATCTTCTTCTCTGTTCCTGGGTATTAAATAAGGTAACTAAGTACATAGTTATGAAGAGCAAGAGTGCCTCTTCCAAAATTGTGAAATTCATGGCCCCAGGGTCAGGGGTTCTGGTGTTAGGGCGGGGCTCTATAGATTATATAGTGAAAATGCATTAATTCTTTGAAAATCTTCTTCTCTGCTCCTGGGTATTAAATAAAGTAAATAAGTACATAGTTATGATGAGCAAGAGTGTCTCTTCCAAAATTGTGAATTTCATGGCCCCAGGGTCAGGGGTTCTGGCCCCAGGGTGGGGCTATATAGATCATATAGTGAAAATGCATTATTTCTTTGAAAATCTTCTTCTCTGCTCCTGGGTATTAAATAAGTTAACTAAGTACATAGTTATGATGAGCAAGAGTGCTTCTTCCAAAATTGTGAAATTCATGGCCCCTGGGTTAGGGGTTCTGGTGTAAGGGCGGGGCTCCATTGATTATATAGTGAAAATGCATTAATTCTTTGAAAATCTTCTTCTCTGCTCCTGTGTATTAAATAAAGTAACTAAGTACATAGTTATGATAAGCAAGAGTGCCTTTTCAAGAATTGTGAATTTCATGGCCCAAGGGTCAGGGGTTCTGGTGTTAGGGCGGGGCTCTATCGACTATCTAGTGAAAATGCATTAATTCTTTGAAAATCTTCTCCTCTGCTCCTGGGCATTAAGGTGATAAACTAAGTACATAGTTATGATGAGGAGGTGGGCTCCTTCCAGAATTGTGAAAGTCATGGCTCCTGGGTCAGGGGTTCTGGTGTTAGGGCGGGACTCTATTAATTATATAGTGAAAATGCATTAATTCTTTGAAAATCTTCTTCTCTGCTACTGGAGATTATTTAAACAAACTAAGTGCTTGATTATGATGCATAAGGATGCCTTTTTAAAAATTGTGAATTTCATGGCCCCAGGGTCAGGGGTTCTGGTGTTAGGGCGGGGCTCTATTGATTATATAGTGAAAATGCATTGATTCTATGAAAATCTTCTTGGTACTGGAGATTATTTAAACAAACTAAGTGCATGATTATGATAGGCAAGGATGCCTCTTCCAAAATTTTTAAACATATGGCCTCACTTTTTGGGGTTCTTGAGGAGGGCTCTATTGATTATATAGTGAAAATGCATTAATTTTATTAATTAATCATTAATTAATCCTGTCTGCTCCTTAACATTGAGCTGATAAATAAATTGCTTAGCTAAGATGAAAATGGGAGCTTCGAACAGAATTTTTAAATCTTGTGGTCTTAGGGTCAGGGGTTCTGGCATAACGAGGAGGGGGGGGGGCTTTTGATAATATAGTGGAAAAGTGTTAATTCTTTGAAGTCCATAGTTTTGATGATGAGGGTAACTCTTCCAAATGTGTAAATTTCTTGACCTTTGGTCTTGGGTTCTGGTGTTAGGGTAAGGCTTTGTTGAATCTGTAGTGAAAATGCATTGTACCTGTGAAATTCTTCTCTGCTTCTGTGCATATCGGAAGCAAACTGAGTAAAAGTTTAAATGATATAAGTAAGCGTATTTCTACCAGATTCTTGAACATCTGGACCATTTGTCTAAGCATTCTGGTCCTGGGCAGGGCTCTATTAATTTGTATTCTACTGAGAGAAGTTATTCCCCTTTT